GGCAACAACAAGGCAACAGGAAATGGTTTTACAGTGCGTGCTCTCGCTTATCCCTCCTCTAGTTTTGTTTCGCTGCTACTGGTATGAGATAGTATCTGTACCCTTTTCAGCTCCTCCAGGAGCTCCACAGTGTGGAGGAGAGAGCAGGAGCTGGTCAGAGCCCTACATGTACACATGTCAGAATCAGACTCAGTGAGGGTGGCTGAGGATGACCTGAAGTCCTTTAGTGGGACCTGTGATCAGAGGCCATCATCGGCGTGAAGCTGTTGTCATCTGTGAACAGAACACAGCAGCTTCACACTGGCAGAAATGAGAGTGTGGAAAGGCCTAACCAACTGACATCAAGCATGATTGTTGGTTTTTTCCATGCAGACATTACCTGATGTCAGAGAAATACTTATTTTCCAATTTAGAGGTCAGAGTTACAGACGACACTCAGTGAAACTGTAAAATCTATGAAAATACTTCCTTAAGCTTGTTATTAAACAGTAATTCATTTAATGGTTATCATTAAATTTGGAAAACCAGAATGTGTTGATGAAGAGATGGAAACACGACTCGCTGTTTTCCTAATATTCTCTTAGTGCCTTTTTCTATAAATATACCAGCTCTCCTAGTGTAAGCAGTTGTCCTAAAATCTCCTTAATTAAAAACTAAATCAGAAGCAGCAGAGATGCATAACAATAAACGGACACTTTGTGCTGCAGAGAGTCGTATCCTCTTTTGGTTTCATGGGTACTTTACAGGGAAAACGAGGAGAGGGCTCCGATCCTCTTTGCTTTTCTTCCTCCTCCGTGCTGTTATGAGAGAATAGCTCTGCCCTGTATTCACGAGTGACGCAAGGTGAAACTTCCTGAAACGAGTTTCCTCATTATTCTTTGGAAAATGCTGCCTTGCAGAGAAATGCTGTTTGGATCGCCACAAAACTCGATCACTGTGCTAAACGTGCAGAGGAGCGGCCTCTGTGTGCTTAACGGCAGCACGCTCCAGAGTCGGGGAGTTTGTAAATATTGACACTGGAAACTGCTCTAATGGAGGAGAACAGCAAATAAATTAAGCTTCTCAAATATTGTGGTAATCCCATCTGTTCTATCAGACTCTCGTTAAAAAGATTAAAAATCCTAGACTGTGATAAGTGAAGTGCTGCTTTCTTGGCCAGCAGGGGGCGACTCCTGTGAAGTGAGGATGTATGGGGAAAAAAGCCTTTAATATTATAACCTGAGCAAACACTTTCCTGATCAGTTTTTGCTCTCAGTTTGTAAGTTTGCACATTAGGGTCTCCTGTGAGGTAAAAGCTGTGACGAGTCCTCTGCGAGACCAAACCCACACCTATTACATCTGTTTTTAAGAAACAAGATGGTCTACGGACAAAATACAGACGTTTTTTTTCTGTATTAAATCGTGGTAATTTTTTTAACTACACAATAAGAGATGAGAGCCAAAACTTAAAGTGCTTTTTCGGTAAACTTTGAAGGGTCATATAACCATGTGGGACAGGCGTCTGGTCGAAACAAGCTACAGCATGTGAACGTCTCCTTTTTGATACCAGGCACATCTTCTAGCTGTATTTCGAATGCTGGGATGCTTTAACGCTCCTGAATGTTGCTTATGGTTATGAAAGGGAGCGACTTTAGTGTTTACATGACACATCGCACTGATCAAACAGCTTCAGGTCAACTTTAAGCTCACAAATGAGACTCTCTGGATAAACAAGATCCAGATTTGTCCCATCGGGGCAGATGGCCACCCCTCGCTGAGCCTGGTTCTGCTGCAGGGTTCTTCCTGTTAAAAAGGAATTTTTTTATTCCCACTGTCGCAAAGTGCTTGCTCAAAGGGGATGGTTTTATTATTAAATACTGATTTATTTATTTATTTTTTTTAAAGTAAAAAGCACTTTAAGGAAACTGCTGATGTGATTTGGCGCTATGTAAATAAAATTAAATAGAAGTGACTAAATCTTGGCTTGAGGTTGAGCTCTTTGCAGGAAAACTGCTTTAATCTTGAACACATCATCCCATATAAAATCTGTGAGCATCTCCCACCTGACCCGATCACGATCAGCTGATTTTTATATACAGCAACTTTAGCTTTTTTATTGAAGCCATTCAAAAGTTGTGCAAGTTACAGGCCCTGAAAACACAATAGCTTGTCTTTGGGTGTTGACTCTTTGAATTAAATCCCCATCTGGTCAGACTTTATGGCACCAGCTATGCTTCACAGCCTCATGATGATCAGTTGGGAAAGCTCTGGTTTTATGACGTGATTGAAAAAGACGATGTGTGTTGCTCACGCACGAAAGAAAGAAAAGGAAACAAAAAACAAGGTTAACTTTACAAACCACGCCTTTGTTAGCTAGAAAACAAGCCTGGTATTACATGTTGGGTTAAAATGAGACCTCTCATATGCTGTAACATATTATAAACAGCGATTTATCCCACAGAAAAAGGGGCTGCTGTACTTGTTTCTGTGTCGGAGACTTTAAATTGGCCCCACTCTGAAACCATGATGGGGTGGGGGGGATTGATTTTTCTTTCCTGGAATGACTCTAACCTGTGTGCTTATCTCCCGCTGCAGAAAAAACTCTGGATTGGAATCTGTTTGGCCATCCTTCTCCTCATCATCATCATCGCCTTGGTCGCCACCTTCTCCTAGCAACACCCTGTGGTGCAAGTTAGCAGAAGCACATTATGGATACCCCCCAAATCCACACATTCATGCGTATACATCAGCTCACAGGATGTACAGCTGAGCGGAGTCAGTGGATTTCAGTTTGATTTTTTTTTATTCCTCTAACCCTCCTGTCCGCCTAACGGTCCTACTCTCCACTTTTTCTGTTGTATGGAAGAGATGTGCTCTCTCGTTTAATCTCACAATCTGTGCTGCGCGCTCGATGCCGGCGCCGCACGTTTTCTGTCAGTTTCTGTTCTGCAAAAACAAACAGCGGGACTCACTGTGGACTGTTACACCAGTCGATCCTTCCCCTCCTGTGTTTCAAAAAAGAAAAAAAATAGAAAAAAAAGAGGAATTAAGTGACCTTGAGTGGGGCACAGAGCAGTATTGATCAAACACTGGCACTCGTCATACTGTACTCAGGAAAACTGTTGTAACGTTGATGCTTCTGGATGAATTGGAGACCTAAAGAACAATTTTATAATGTAGGCCTTTTATAGTTGGATACAGGAAATAGACTAATATAATTGTACATAACCGATGTTGCTGGTGATAAAAAATTTATGCAGATGATTTTTAAAACTTCAAAGGTTTTTTTTTTCATACTGCGTACATGTAACAAGTGTAAATACAGATTTTTTTGTGTGTATGTGTGTGTGAAATAACCCCTACCCTCCGCCCTTTCCTCCTCCTCACTTCTCTTCACATTTGCATAAGGTGTCTCAACACTACAGGTCCAACGCTTCCCCTTTCCTGTGTCCTTCCAGTTTGCATTTTTGACTCAAAACGTTGTGCAAGCGCCTGCTTAAACAACACACACGTCTTCAGAAATGGTGCCTTCTCCTTTGCAAATGTGACGTCGTGCATTAACAAAAAGGGATGGATGTATTTTAGACTTCAACGTGTTTTGTTCTGTTTTTTTTCTCACCGTTTTGTCCCATTATGCATTTTTTTTTGCTATATTTTGGAGTCAAAATACACCAAGGGGACAAATGAAACCCATTTAAAAAAGAAAAAATGAAGCAAAACTGAGAGGCGGCTTCTTGCTGACGCCTCGTTCAGAAGCAGAAAAGTTGCTGTGAAAAAGGCTGGCAGAGGACGGAGGGGAGGGACACGGCTACTGTGTAAAATTATGGCTGTTTAAATTTTGCATCGCTCATTTATTTTATTATACATTTGTTTTAAAATAAAATACCGCCATGTTCCATTATCCTCAGTCTGCCTTGTATCTTTTTAAGATTAGCAAGTCTTGAACTATCAGCTGGCCCTCTAAAGGAGCCTGGAAGCACCTCGGGATCCCCAGGAAGAACTGGAAAACGTTGCTGGGGAGGACAGAGTCTGGAATACCTGCCTAACCTGCATTTTTATGATCTGTTTAATGCACAGGGTGTACAGTGGTTTGAAATAATGAAGAACACTGTACCTCACAGGAAAATGGAAAACATCCCTGAAAGCTTTAAAGTTGGCGAGCTTGTTGAACACTCAGCTGTGGGGTGTTTCCATCCTGATGGGTGGGAGGAAAAGTCAGTGGACAGTTTTCATTAAAATAAGTCAGGGTGTCCTCCCTCCCTGTTCTGTTAGAGAGCAGCTGTTGGCTTTGTAGCCAAAGGGACAAAAATGCAGGTTAACACAGACCAATTTTGTATTTTACCAAACATTTCATTTTTATGATTGAAAAAAGCTGATTTGAAACCAGACATGAGGTCAGTAATTGTGACACTGAAACTCTTTAGCTGATTTATATTTAAGAGCTAAAACTACTGATTGAGCCATTAAACTCACTGCAAAAATGTTACAGGTGAGGTCATGAATCAGGTGAGCCGAGGGCAATTATATTCTCTAATTTTTATTCTATTTTGACTTTGTTTTAATTCAGTTTAGTTTTCATTGGTCTTAGTGTTAGTCTGTGAAAGTATGGAGGGCAAATGTCAGAGGCAAGATTTAGGGAAACAAATAAAAGTATTACAATAAAAACAGAAGCGCTTCATAAAAGCAGTTGATTCTCTGTTACAGATACAGATGTTTCAGACCTGACAGTTTTTCATGGTTCAGGATTTAACCTCAGCTAAGTTGGTCTGTTGGCTTCAACTGTTTTTTCTAGCTCCAACTGCATTTTTGGAGCTAGAAGTCATGATATTTGGAAGGCATTAGGATTACATCTATAAACAAACTAATAACCTCTTGGATGACTTCTGCTACACAGCAAACCATATTTGTCAGATAATCCTTTAAGAGTTGGAGTTTGGTAAGTCGCCGAGCTCCAACTCTTCTTTCTTTGGTTGGTCAGACAGAAATAAATCTTAATTTGAGAAAAAAAAAAAGAATTCAACTAATTTTTGGTCTTTTTATTCAACTGTAATTGCCATAATTTTCAAGTAAAACAATGTGGAATTACAAGGATCAAAGGAATGCAACAAAAAGAGACAGAAATCAAAGTAAGACCATCACCATAAACTACCCCCCCCCCACCAGATATCATCTTTGCTCAAAAGTAAATCGACAATTTACAGTCATCTCAAACTGTACCAGTAATTTTATTCACATATTTTTTTTATTTTGTCCAAGTATACTTTTTTCTTCTTTTTTTTTTTTTAAACATGAACCAAAATCGATGATGTGAGAGAAAAACAAAGTTCGGGTGAAAAATGAAACATTAATTCAGTAGCACTGATGCTCAGGGTGTTTTTCCTTTCTTGTTTCATGTAAGGGTTGGATTTTTCCCCACATCATTTTTTGGATTAATTAGTTTTTTAATAACTGAATAAGAGAAATTTAACACCCCTGCTTCAGGTGCTTCACAAGGCAATCTGAGGTTCAAAACCATTTGGCCACAGAGGCACTCTTAAATTCAGTTCTCAACATTTACTTGGCTTTTTGTGACAAGTAATTTTTTAAACTGCCTTTAGGACGTTTTGGGGGGGATGAAAGCTGGATTTTGTGGTGTGACTAAAGATTTTCCAAACTGGAGACAAACATCGTTAGGTACCAGGAACCAATTCATCGACTTCAGTTGATGAACAAACGCATCACAACACCACGGAGTACTGAAAAAAAGCCGAGGGCCACGTTATTAAAGATGTGCAAAAGAGAAATGCAAGGCTGGATTTTCGAATCCGATGAACAGAAAGTGACATGGAGAAAATAAAAAAAATAAAAAATAAACAAAGAGGGGGAGAGGAGGGGCCAAACAAAAAGACGAGCTCCAGCATAGTGCAGCAAAGATCACATTGACAGATCTGTTCTCTTCCTAATAACCTGGAAGAAATAATAAAATATGCATAACTTATCAACTGACTACAGAGAAACAATAGTCAGGACAGAAAATCTCAAAACCAAACTTTCTAAAACCTTCAACTTACAATACAACCGCTCACTCGAGACTTTTAAATGTCACACAAATTACTTTTCATGGGTAACCCCAGCAGAGGGCGCCGTTTAACCCTGTCTTAACAGAGCATCTGAGTGTTCCAGTCTTTTAATGATTACAGTACATTATGTGAACTAACAACTTGCACCTTTTGTCCCACCCACGCCCCACCCCCTCCGAGTCCAAGTGGTGAGTTTTATCCACGGCATGTCCACATATCTGGACGCTCGACAGCGGCGCCGCCTGTTTACCGTCAGTCCAGCGTCCCTGAGCCTTCCCCCGGCGCTCAAAAGCAGAGCTGGCGCGCCCCGACTAGAAAGGGAGAGGGCCCGAGAGGCGGTGAGGTCCCTGGCTTGTGCAGCACTCAGTTTGCTCTTGTTTTTCCTCAGAGTGCAGACAAAGCAGCAACCTTGGAGATCACGCCATGCTCTCGTATCACGCTCTGCCACACCCTCGCTTCTGTTTTTTTTTTGTTTTTTTTAATTCTCCCCTTTGGCACTCCGATCATGTCTTATTGTGACGCTGTTGGCTTGAGGAGGAGCGGGTGCTTGCGGCCGGTGACCGGGCCTGCACTGCAGCGAGTGCAGCAACGCTCCGTAGCACCCTGTCCGGCGTTGACCCCTCGGTTCCCGAGCTGCTGGTCACATCCTGCGAGAGCTTCTGGGACCTCCTCTCCTTGCGACTCTCTCGCTGTTGTTTCTCCTTTTTGTCACGGCTCTTTGCCCGCTCAGAGCTGCGGTCCCTCTCCCGCTCGCTGCCGGAGGAAGTGGCACGGGAGCGGGAACCTCGGTGCTCCGTGTTCTGGGAGCTGAGGGTGCGCTGGCTGCTGTTGCTGCTGCTGCGGCTTCTGCTGCTGCGTCCGCCGCAGTCGCCCTCGCCATCGCTGCTCATGCTGCTGCAGGCGCTGTGGCCCCTTGACGACGATCGCGTCTCTCCCTCGCCTTCCTTGCCCCTCGAGGACTTCCTGCTCCCTCTCTCTTTCTCCTCTGGTTTAGGCCTCTTGTACTCCACCTCTAAGGGTGGAACCAGAGAGCCAGGGCACTGTCTGGTGGAGCGTGATGTAGATCGGCTCGCCTGATTGGGTGTTGAAGGTTTGCTGCTTTTGTTGTTGGTCACAGAGTTGCTCTGAGGAGAGGCTGGCACACTTTTACTTTTAGGCTTTTGGTTTTTGTCCGAAGGGGCAGTGGTGGAAGTCGCAGGAGCTTTCGGGGTGGAGTCTTTCCGAGGGGTGTGGCCTGGGGTGTCCACCCTGCCTTTCATAGCTAAAAGCTTGGCTGCTGCATTGAGTGCTGAGCACCTTTTCCCTAGAACCTCTGGCTCAGGAGGTAGCGAGGGGGTGCTGTTGGTCAGCGTTTTAGTGTCCTGTGGCGGCTGTGATCCCACAGACTTCCTGGTGATCCTAACAGAGGACGTATCGCTGCCCGACTCTCCTCCCGTGGACGCATTGGTGTTGTTTGACGAGTTTCTGTCCGAGCTGCTTGCTGGTTTGGCTCCCTTTCTGTCCTTGGTGCACTTTTCCTTCTCCTGATCTTGGAGCCTGCGTTTTGCTGAGCGAGTGAGCCGGTGCTCCTTCCTGCTGTTGCTGCTGTCAGAGTCGGAGGAGGAAGAGGAAGGAGACCTGGAGCGCCTCCTTCGAGAGGCAGTGGTGGGAAGGTCTGTCTCACTGCCCCCTTCTATTTTCTCCTCCTCGCCTTGTTCCTCCTTGTCCTCCTTCCCTGCCTCTGATGTAGGATCCACTCGCCTCTTCTTGGTAGGATGTCTGTTCTCGTAGGTCCTCTTGTGGTGAGCATGGCGGGTGAGGGTGGAGGTAGAGCACCCAGACGATGGCGAAGAAGAGCGAGCAGACTCCTGGCTACTCTGGCGACTAAGTGACCTTTTGTGGATAGCAGGTTTCTGATCCTCAGTAGTTTTCTCTTCTTCCAGAGGGTTAGCTTCATCTTTCGGAATGGGGGTTGTGGTTTTTGTTTCTCGTCCCACTCCTTGGGGCCTTCCTGACTCTTTGGTCTCAGAGGAACTCTCCACCTTTCTTCTTTTAGGCTGAGACTGGCTAAAGTCTGACTTTTTGTCGTCGTCTTCCTTACTCATCGCAGCTTCAGCCTCCATTTCTGTCACCTCTTCTTGGTCGCTTTTAGAAGCTGACTCTTTCTCTGTTGATGGCTCTAAAGATGGTGCAACGAGGGGAGTGGATGAGGGAGCGGATATGGGAGCAGGTGTGGCTTCCTCGGTCTGAGATGGTGCAGGAACACTTGTGGATGAAGAAGTTTGTAGCTGAGAGGAAGTGACTGCAGAGGTTTGTGTAGTGGAGACGGGTGGAGCTGTTTTGGTTGTGGATGCTGTGACTGTAGCTATTGAAGCAGGGGTGATGGTTGTGGTTGTTGACCCTAGGGAAGCAGACTTTTCTGGTGATGATGTAGCTATGGTGACAGACGGTGATGCTGATGTTGTAGCTGTTACCGGAGGTGTCTTGTCAGTCTTTTCTGCAGTTTTGGGAGGAGAAGAAGAAGAAGTGAGGACTTTGGAGGGCGCTGCAGTTGAAGGTGTTGTTACTCCTTCTGCTGGGGGTGATGAAGCTGCTGAAGCCTTCTTTGCCTCTGCAGGTGTAGCAGCACTTGTGGATGGTGTAGTTGGAGGAGGCGTGCAGACTGGACTTGATGCTGAAGGCTTTTCGGGCTCTACATGTTCCTGAACCTCTGCAGTTGGTGATGCTTGTTCGGTCGGGCTTTTGTTAGCAGTCTCAATTGTCTTTGCTTTGGCTGGAGGGGAAGGTGGAGCTGTATTACCAGAAGATGGTGCCACTGTTTTGACTGGTGGTGATGTAGAAGTCTTGTCAGACACGGTCCGGATTGAGTCTAACATACTGGTTTGTGCTGTTTTTACTGGAGCTGTCACAGTTGTAGATGTAGCTGGAGGGGTCTGCTTGGGCGAAGGTGGAGCTGGGGAGGTCTGCTTGGGCGAAGGTGGAGCTGGGGAGTTTTGCTTGGGCGAAGGTGGAGCTGGGGAGGTTTGCTTGGGCAAAGGTGGAGCTGGGGAGGTCTGCTTGGGCGATGGTGGAGCTGGGGAGGTCTGCTTGGGCGAAGGTGGAGCTGGGGAGGTCTGCTTGGGCGAAGGTGGAGCTGGGGAGGTCTGCTTGGGGGAAGGTGGAGCTGGGGAGGTCTGCTTGGGGGAAGGTGGAGCTGGGGAGGTCTGCTTGGGGGAAGGTGTAGCTACAGGGGCCTGTTTAGGCGAAGCTGTAGCTTGAAGGCTCTGCTTGGGTAAAGATGGAGCTGGGGAGGTCTGCTTGGGTAAAGATGGAGCTGGGGAGGTCTGCTTGGGGGAAGCTGTAGTTGGAGGGGTCTGCTTGGGTGAAGCTGTATCCAGACTCGATACAGGATGACTGGAGGGTGTGGAGGCTAGAGAGGCTTGTGGCAAGTCCTTCACAAGAGAAGCAGTTGGAGGTGATGTCATTGCAGTGGTGACTTGTGGTGTAATACTAACTGTTACAGACACTGTGGTAGCAGCTGTTGTGAGCGTTGGGGTGGGGTCTTTAACAGCTTTGGAAGATGACGTAGTGGGTGGAGTGGAGTGTGTAATTGGTGTGGTTGTGGTGGTGGTTGCCTCCACAGCTGGTTGAACAGCAGCATCTGAAACTGTGGAAACCACAAGTGTTGGTTTAACACCTGGAGGAGGAGGTGGGACATCGCTGACAGGTGGTGACGGAGCTGTGTTGCTGACGGGGGTGGAGGTATACGTGGAAGAAGAGAGGACTGGTGCTGGGGCTGGACTTGGAGCTGGGGCTGAAGCAACCACTTGGGAAGAGGCAGGGTCAGAGATCAGTGAGGTCACCTGGGGTGCAGGTGAAGTGGGAAGTGAGACGGGTGTGGAAACTTCATCTGACTTTGTTGAGGAGGCTGGATTTGGAGGCGGGGCCAAAGCCTCAGTTTTAGTGTCTGTCTGATCAGCTTTGGTCGACTGTGAAGACCGAGTCATTTCAAAAATAGCAGCAGGAGGCGGGGTCTCTGAGATCGTCAGTTCTGTCCTGGAATCAGTTTTTGATAGATTAGAGTTCTGACTCTCATTAACGGTTTCTAGCGTGGTCGCTGAGTCCTTGCGGGGACGACCCCTCTTACGTTTAGGGGACAGTGGCGGGATTCCTTCCTCAATTGCCGAGATGGGATGTGGGGATGTGGTCGATGCGTTGTCAAGTTCAGGTAGTCTTGTGGGAGTCTTAGGGGGCCGGCCCCTCTTTCTTTTCAAAGGTGGCATGAGAGAGTTCACGCTGGACTCCGCAGCAGAGGCGGAAGCAGCGTCTCTGCCTGGTGGGATGTCCGTTTTCTTGGACTGGTTCGCTCCCCGTCCTCTCCCTAGATGCTGCTCTCCCATCTGGGCAGCCATACGAGATTCGGTTTCCAATCTGCGCCGCACGGGAAGATTCCTCAGCACTGGCATGTCAGGAGACAGATGAGGAGGGGAATATGGAGGATAGCCTCTGACAGGCTGAGGGTGCACAGGCGGACTTGGGGTAGCGT